TAAGTGGGCGTGATTTCCTAAAATCGTAGGGAAAATGGTTCTGAAACCGTTCGACTCATATTTGAATGAGTCAAACGCCCAATTTGGTGTTCAGAACCCTAACCTCGCGTCTTGGAATTGAGACGTGAGGTTGGGTGTTGACTGAACGTCAAAAACACGAGGGCCGCTCGCGTTTTGTTTGTTGCAGCTTGGAAACGCGGGGGTCGCCTGCATTTTAAGAATTGTAACGCGAAGATGAGTTCCGCGTTTTAGAAGGAGCTAGTTGATTTGTAACTTCTTCTGTAGAGTGTTGTAAGGACCATTGTTCAGTAATCCTCGCATTAGCTGTTGTGGGGTGTGAAAGTCGTCAGATTGTAACTTTCACTGTAGATTGTGAAGACTGCTGAATAGAGTTTTCATTAGTTGTCGGAAGTGTCGTTGAATTGTAACTCTTCTCGCTCTATGTGAAAAGTCCTCCATTTGCAGCTTTCGTTTGTTGGCATGAAAGCTATCTGATTGTAACTTTCATTTTTGGAGCTTGATGGAGATCAGCTATCCATTGTGATTTTTAGACAGCCTACAGAACCTCCTTCAAAGTTTTCGAAAGTTCGCGGTTGACTGGGACGAATTTTCGGAATACTTTGGATCCCAAAATTTGGTGGATTGATTGTTTACTCCGTCTGATTTGAAGACGTCGCGAACCTGATTATTGTAATGTTAAAATTATGTTACCCCAAACCAAACAACGTAACTTTTGAGTCTTGATGACAATGAACTTAGTCAAACAAACTAAATCCCAAGTCATCGTCAGACTCATCGACAGGCTCGTCCTTCTTCTCTTCTTCTTTAGAGGTAGGAGCAGCAGCATTCTTAGCAGATGCAACAGGGATGACATCAACAGTAAACTTGCTCGGACTCTTTAGATACTCCTTCACCCTCTCAGCTTGTGGGAAGGTGTATTCAGTGTTAACAGCAACAACAATGATGTTCTTGTAAGCATTGACGAACATGTGAGGTGCAGCTGTAAGAGTTGGATAAGAGAGAGAGCCAAGACAGCGAAGCAACCATAGAAACACCAGCTGCAAACTTGTCAACGAGGTCATCCTCCATGAGGTTGAGTACTTCTGGACTTAAGACAGATCCATTGTCATAGACAGAGAGAATCAAAAGCCCACATGAGAGGGGCTTTATCCTAAGTTTAGTCAGGAGGGCAGACTCAGAGGAATCCACTTTATCTCCTTTCTTGATCAGCTCAACTGGTGGTGACAATTTTAGCAATATCATCATTACTCTTTGTTGGGATGTTAAGCTATTTAGAAGAATGAGTTGCACGTAGCTTCATGTCTTCATTAATCTTGGTGGGAATGTTTAGCCATTTAGAAGAATGAGTTGCACGTAGCTCCTGTCTTTATTAATCTTGGTTGGGATGTTAATCCATTTAGAAGAATGAGTTGCGCGTCGGACCGTGTCCTCATTAATCTTCGTTGGGATGTTAAGCCACTTAGAAGAATGAGTTGCGCGTCGGATCGAGCCAGATGATTTCAATGTTGTTGATTGTAATCTATCTGTACTCATCCAATAGACTCTACAGTGGAGTCGTCTATTTCTTCTCGGCTTTGGTCACCTTGATGATCGCTGTTAGCTCTTCTTTTATTTATCTGGGGCTGTGCCGTAGCCTTGATAGTCGAGAGGCTGTTATTGTAGCGGTCCAAATACATAGATAAATTCTGCATTTAAGGATTGGAACGCGTGGGTGAGATCCGCGCTTGAGAATTAGAATGCGTGGGTGAGCCTAGCGTTTGGAAGTTCAACCAACTCGAACGCTGAGATCGAGTTTGGGCAGGATTCTAGCCTAGAATCCCATTCCGATTTGACAGCTCATAGCTGTCTATAAATAGACAGCCGGGGGTCGAATCAAGGGTCATTCGACTCTTCTTGAAACTTTAACGAAAATTTTTGTTCTCATCTCCGGCAATAGCGATTCTCCTTCTCCTTCGACTAAAATCAATGGCGCCCAAGAAGAAGACCGTCTCTCGACCCTCCAAATCCGACGTCGCCTTAGCTCAGGGTTCGTCGGCGTCTGCATCGGCCGGTGGTGCCGTGACTCAGGCGAGCATGCCGCCGCCTCAAATCCCTCTAATCGGTGGTGAGTATGACCTTTGTGGTCGTTAAACTCGCTGCGGCGAGTTCCTATTTTTGAATCAACGAGGAGACTCATTTTGATAATGCAGAGCTGGACTCTGTCGTTTAGTATTTTCGACATGGGGTTCGATCTCCCCGTCTATGATTTTTGACGCGAGGCTTGATCTCCGCGTCTAAGATTTTTGACGCGAGACTTGATCTCCGCGTCTAAGATTTTTGGCGCGAGACTCGATCTCCGCGTCTGATTACCTTTGCATTGTCTAACTTCTTTCTTTATTTTTGCAGTGCGTCACACCAGCGAGCCTCTCCCTTTTTGCCATCATTTTGGGCACGAAGGTGGTGTGGATTTGAACATGACATTCAACCTGCGCCGAGAACTCCCGGTTTTCCGAATTACGGAGAAGAGCCGTGTGGAACTAATCACTCAAGCTTCTCCCGAAACTCTTAGGATATTGGTTACGGACGCTAGACTTGAGAACCTGAGCCGTAAACCGATAGTCAAACCTGGATTCCTCTTCGGGGATTTTGTTGACTTTGAGGCAGGCGTTGCTTATGATGGGGACTACAAGTGACTGCGGAAAGTTAGAGACCGCAACCTTTTCTTGCCCAATATGGAGAGGATGTTGCACGATATGAGCCTCCTGCTCACCCGTATCCTTCTTTGGTTCTTTACAGACCGAAGACATATGGCCCTCCTGGACGCAGTTCCAACACTTCCCTTTGATAGACCTAACCTTCGAGTTCGGCCTCTTCTTCACTGATTTCGACCGATTCCTATTCTGGTTCCCTTTCTTCTGGCTTCTGCCTCTCTGCTCGAAACTTAGAGCTGAACCTGAACCTTCTGATTCGGACGATTTCCTTCTAACCTCCTCGGATAGAATCATGCTAACAACCTCATTCAGCTTCAACTTCTCTTTCCCCGCCGAATTACTGATTGCCGTCACACAACCTGCCCAACTATCCGGCAACTGTGATAGTAGTAGAAGGGCATGCACTTCGTCATCGAACGTGATGTTCACGGAGATAAGTTGATCAACAATCGTGTTGAACTCGCTGAGGTGCATCGTGAAGGACCGTCCTTCTGCCATCTTGAGGTTGAAAAGAGTTTTGACTAGATGTACCTTGTTTGCTGCTGACGGTTGCTCGTACATCTTCGCAAGCGCTTCCATAAGGAATATTGTGGGCTGCTGATTTGGCGAGCGACAACCGGATTTGCCCTAGAGCCTTCCTATCCAGTACCTCCCAATCACCATCTGACTCCTCTTTCTTCTTTTCCTTTTCCTTGCCCATCAGCGGGCGATACAAGTCCTTCTGGTACAGATAGTCCTCCATCTGCGACTTCCAGTAGGCGAAATCCGATCCATCGAACTTCTCAATCTTTGATTTGCTTTCCTCTGCCATGGCTTTCACACAAATTGTTGAACGAAGCTCTGATACCAGTTGTTGGGGGATTCAAAACAATCAATCGAACCCTTGCCCTTCCGTACCTTGTGTTGAAAGTAGGAAAGTAGGAATAAAACCACAAATAAAGATCTAACTTGCAAAAAACAGTAAAGGAGATGAACACACAGATTTAACGAGGTTCGGCAACGTGCCTACGTCCTCGGGAGCCACACCACACAATTTCTTTGATTAATTAAAGAAGAAAATACAAGCTCTCAAATAAGGGATTAATCTCTTTGAGATTCTCTCTCTCTTTGCAGTCAAAAGGCTCTTTTTTTGATGTAGTACAAACCCTAAAATCGTTTGGGGTATATATAGAATCCTTGTTGAAACAGAATCCCAAAAGGAACAGGAAACTGCCAAAAATACTCACGGTCGACCGGCCCGGTCGACCGATCAGATTCCAGAGAGTTTGGCGGTCGACCTGCGCGGTCGACCGATGGCAAAACCCGAGAGCAGTCGGTCGACCGCGACCTGATCTAGGCTCTCCCAGCTCCTGTGCACGTTCCCGGTCGACCGACCCGGTCGACCGACCCGGATCTGTCTGCTCGATTTTCTGTCTTTTTGATTCCAGCTCTTGTCTCGAACTTTGGGTCTACACCTTAGACTAACAAACCTTTATTTTATCACAGACCTTTCTTAATGAGTTTTAGGAATATATCTTTTGATTAGTGATTTATCATGAAATTGGGTTTGATTACGTCTAAAAACACGATTTTTAACTATTTGTGTCACCGGATTCGTTGTTAGCTACAATTGAAGGTCTCTTTAGTTGATTAAAAAAGAATTTTAATTTTGATATTACTTTTTCCTTGTTAGCTACAATTGAAGGTCTCTTTAGTTGATTAAAAAAGAATTTTAATTTTGATATTACTTTTTCCGTAACTTTAGTATATTTTTGGCGAAGATTCAGTTGAACACCTTCAATTGTAACTCAAATAATTTCATTCTTAAGCATTTCTACTTCGTAGCCTATAAAACACCAAGATATTGTTAGATATAAACATGTGTTCTTTGATATGATATATTACTAGATATGTTACGGCTATGTTATAAAGGGCAGACCCAGGTGTACCAAACTGGTGTCACATGACACCGATTTGATTTTTGACCCTTAGGGCTTGTTTGGATTGAGGGGAATAAGGGAGAAGGGAAGTTAGAGGAACCATTCACCTTGTTTGGGAACACTTAGGAGGTGAAGTTATTCACCCTAGTTACCCTTAGTTCACCCCTTAATAGTATAAAATTTGTTACCCTTCAAATTAAGGTGTAACCAAGGGGAATGGAACTCTCTTCCTTTCCCTTCTCTTTTCTCGCCTAGCTTCCCTTAACTTCCCTCAACCCCATTGAAATCCAAACACGCCCTTAGGATCTACCAGCAATTACCTAATCCCTAAAATCCCCATGTACCTGATCCTAGTAAAAATAAAACGCTTCTCTCAATAATTTCTCGACAGTAAAAAAAACACTCTCTTTGGCGTAGCTCATCCTCTCCGCTTCAATCAAGTTAGTGGTCATGGATGGCCTCTGACGCTCCTCCTCTGGATTTCCTCTTCTCCTTAGGAGCTTCTTCATGGCTCCATCCTCCTCCGCCAATCCTCCACCTTTTTCGATTTTGAAAGCCCACGACTCCTTCCTCCTCCTCCTCGACATCGCAAGTTGAGGGCCTCAACAAGATTCCTATTCCATTGACCGTTTCTGCGATCCACTCAAGGTATCTCTAATTCTTAATCTAAGGCTAGGTTTAGTATCTCTACAGACTTGGATTTGTTTTAGCTTTATCAATGATATGCTTTTCTCCTTGATGAAGTGATTTCATTCTGATTGCATTTAAGAGTTGACATGTAAAAGATCGGGAATGCATTGTTAGAAGTAGAAAAAATACTATGTTTTTTGCATTGATATTTTTGATGGGATGTTATTTTCAATTTCTACACAGAAGCTCTTACAATTTTTGTGTGCTTATTAAAATTCAATGAGAAATAAAGAACCTCTGTAGGCTCAAATATTGTTTTTGGTGGAGAATAAAAAGCATATTGTCTATCATTTGGTGTATTTGTTTTGAAGATGGAGTTGATTTTACCCGTGGCTATGACAAATATGGAAAGAGCTTTTTCGGTAATGAAATTATGAAGAGAAAATTACAAAAGAAAATGAGTGATTATTAGCTTAAAGATTATTTATAAGAAAACTCATCAAAGATAATTGTAAATTTTTTTATTTATTAATTATATAGTTGTTGCGCGCAACGAAAATTTTGGCAGCACTTCGGCAGCACAATAAGAGAGTCAGGTCGCAATAAGAATTCTCGTCTCACCAAGAAAACAAGAATCTGAAGCAAAATATCTCAACCAAGTGAGATATCAGCTCTTCCTCTCATCAGTTCTAGGACTGACCCGTCGAGAGAACCTAAAAGCTATTACAAATCACACAAGTAGCGATACAACCAATTTTACGTGGTTCGACAAATTGCCTACGTCCACGGGGCAAGGAGGGGGGGGGGGAGAGATCTACTAATAGATGGAGAGATTACAACTAGGGTTTACAATTACTCACAACCTAAACCCTCAAACAAACTCTCAGATCCCTCACAATATCTCTCTACAAAAGGATGCAAAAAACCCAACTTTTCCTCTGTCTTTGCACTCCTACAGCCGTCACAAAAGTTCTGTGCGCAAAACCCTTTGGCCTCAGTCGAAAAATTCACAGCCGAAATTCACAAACCTTCTGCGCTTTCGTACTTGCCCTGCAGCCTTGCACTTTTCCTTCTGCCCAACTCTAAACCCTAGGCTACAAAGATATATATATAGCAGCCAAAGAGACATTCGGGTGGGCCGCACGATATTGGTACGTCTTTGCTCTTTGATGCTCCGATTCAGGAATATAGTGGCCCTACATGTTCTCAAAACGTGAACTTTTCACGTGCTTCACAATAGTAACACCACTTTCTAGAAATCCTGGATCTACCACTATATGTTATTGGATAAGTAACCAATGTACATATACTCTAAAGTACTAGGTATTCAATATATAATCACCCCATATCATTGACATATTAATATGGAGGGTACACTACTAGAAAATAGAGTTTTGCCTACGAAAATATAGCGACGGAAATTTCCGTTGCTATAACATAAGATATAGCGACGGAAATTTTCGTCGCTATATTTCCGTCGGTAAAAATTTTTTAGCGACGGAAATGAATGTATTAGCAACGGAAATTAACCGTCGCTATAAATTCCCCGACGAAAATTTAGCGACGGAAATTTTCCGTCGCTAAAAACTTTTTTAGCGACGGAAATTTCCGTCGCTAAAAAAGTTTGGAGGGAAAAAAATTTGGCCGCGGGCGCCCAAATTTTTTGGGCAGCCCGCGCCCTCTGCCCCTCAATCTCTGACCCAATATGTCAATAAATAACATTTTGCTCCGTGAAAAATTTCGATAGATATATAGAACCGCATTTTTTAATCTCGCCGGAGCATCGACAACCTCGCCGCCGTCTCCGTTGCCGTCTCCACACCCTCCTCATTCTTCTATTACGGTGGTGAGCTTTCAGTGGATCCCTTTTCCTTCGAATTCCCCTAATTTTTAAAACCCTAACCTTCATTCAACACCCTGTCCTAGATCTTGCGCTCTCATCTCCTAAATCTCGAGATCGAATAATCAATTCGTGTAATTTGACCCTTAATTCGAGATGCATTCGAGATCGGCGCAGCTGTCGTACCGAGATCGGACGCAGGAGTTTCTGACGGTGATGGAGAGATTGAAGAAGTCGTTATCTTCTCAACAGAACTCTGAGATCGCCGCCTCTGCTTCGAAATTCGAGGGGACGAAGTCGTCGGTCTCGATTCAGTCGGAATTCAATAAGAGAGCTTCCAAGATCGGGGTTGGGATCCATCACACTTCTCAAAAGCTCTCCAAACTAGCGAAATGTAAGTCGAAATTGCTATTTGCCTTGGTTAATTTGAAGTGAGTAATTCTTCTTTGAAATATGACCTCTCATATTTTGCTCAAACGCACATTGTTTGATGTGTAAGTAAACTTGGAAAGGTGGTCAGAAACAAGAGAAATTTTGGGATAAATAAGTGATCAGAATCTGAGTTTATCTGCTTCTTATGGTGTTGTTGTAACTTGACTTAGTGATGACTTCGATGTGTATTTTGAACTCGTGAAATCGATACTATCCAGTATCGTGGAGCTGTGATTCTGATTAATGCAGTTTGGTTTCTCATTGTTGAGTTTATAGGATCTATTGAAGTTCAATTACCGTATGGTTGAACATATAGGAACCTCCAGAGTACCTAATACTTATTTAAATAGTTATTGATGTGCTACGGATGTTGTTCCAATTGCATTCGGTACTTAGGGTGAAGCTGTGACTCCTTACGAGCTTAGGAACTGGAATTCACTTGTTCTAGTTACCAGTTAGTTTCTTAGAGGTAATAATGAGTTGAAATTCCATTGCCAATTGGGATTCCTCAACTATAAGATACCATACCAAACAGCATCATTTAGGTCAGTGACTCAAACCATGAGTTGAAACACATGTAAATTGCAGTTCTATGTAACCAGATTGGTCCTAATGTTGATCATAGTTGAGTAGCTGTTTTTGAGTTACATCATTGTCCAAAAATAAGTTTCGCGTTTTTCGCAGAAGAGGATAGAGAATCAATGTAGCGTGAGTCTCAAGAAGTTTGTATGTTTTATATTTCTTTAAAATGACAAGACCATGAGTAGTAGTACATTGCTGAATGATTAATTATCTTACCCGACAATTTTCACAGAATATGTTCTTTGCTTTGTAGATTGTTGAGTTTGCATCTTGTTGTATGCGCTCTGCCTCTGTATTAAGAATGTGTAGATAATTTTGGAGCGTGCATCTTTCAAATTGCTTGAAAGTTTTTCACAAATATGGTTTGTATCTATTATAGTAATAGAATGAGATTGGGATGAGTTCAAAGAAGTTCAACAAAGGAGCCACATAACCACTGTGGTTGATAACTTGAAGACTCGTTTGATGAGTGCAACAAAGGAGCTCAAAGAAGTCCTAACCATGCGGACAGAGGTATATGATATCCTATCTTCCGCTGATTTAATCTCCATTGTTGATCTTATCTGTAAAGCGTGGTAAATATTACCCTATTACATTTTTGCCGTTTACCTCAAAACAAACGTTTCATCATTTTCTTACTATATTTAGGGTTATAAGTCATTTGTGGCGATATTAGTTTGAATTTTAAATACACGTGCATTCAGTTTTGCAGAATAAAAACTGGTTCTGTGCTCTTTCTAGTGTTACTCATCAGCTTTATTGTTGTAGATGATTAATATTTCTTTTCACCATAGTTATAAATGAATGATCATAAGTGGGAGTGTACTCACAAATTCTGTTTTCTTAAAAGAAAACTCACCATAGTTATAATGCAAATGAATGATCATAAGTGGGAGTGTACTCACAATATTCTTTTAAGCGTATGTGCATGTATGCGTATTGGGCTAAGACCTCTCTCTATCTTGCTATTAGGTAGGAGTAGCTTTCCTTGCAGGGTTAGGGTGTGTGCATGCGTTGTTGTAAAAATTGTGCGTGCGTGCGTATAATACATAAGAATATGCCATGATACTCTCTCTTATTGCTATACTTGAATGTCATGCCATGTTGTTAACGTTTGATTTATATTTGCAGGTCGGGACTTCTAGACAAGGTGGAGCTGGTGATGAGAATGTTGATGATGATGATCAGGAGGACTGATTTGTTTTTTTTTACCTTTGAAAACAATGAATGAGTGTTGTATAAACAATATTTATCATGGTGTGTGATGTATAAACAACGTTTATCATGTTGGGATATTTTAATTAAATTATATATGTTATATATGCGTGAGAATGAATGTTATACTGCTGATTGAACAGGGTTTTAAATTTATTATATTATTGTACAGGTTTTTTCAATTTTCAAATTATTTTTAAAAAAATATTAGAAATATTTAGCAACGGATTGGCCGTCGCTAAATAGACTTTTAGCGACGAAAAATTTGCCTTATTTATTTATTTATTTATTTTAAAAATAGTTATAGCGACGAATTTTCCGTCGCTAAAAAACATTAGCGACGGATTTTCCGTCGCTAAAAGTTGTTTTAGCTACGGAAAATCCGTCGCAAATGTTTTTTTCTTTAAAAAAAAAAAAATAATGCGACGGATTATCCGTCGCTAATTTTCCGTCGCTGACTTTTAGCGACGGAATATCCGTCGCTAAAAATGATTTTAGCTACCCTCACTGTACTGACGGTTTTTTTGCGACGGAATTTTATTTTTTCCGTCGCTAAAGGTTTTAGCGACGGATTTCCGACTTTTAGCTACGATAAATCCGTCGCTAATGTTTTTTTCTTTTTTTAAAAAAATAATGCGACGGATTATCCGTCGCTAATTTTCCGTCGCTGACTTTTAGCGACGGAATATCCGTCGCTAAAAATGATTTTAGCTACCCTCACTGTACTGACGGTTTTTTGGCGACGGAATTTTATTTTTTTCGTTGCTAAAGGTTTTAGCGACGGATTTTTGACTTTTAGCGACGGATTTGTCCGTCGCTAAAAGTCCTGTTTCTTTTAGCGACGGATTTTTGACTTTTAGCGACGGATTTGTCCGTCGCTAAAAGTCCTGTTTCTAGTAGTGGTATTTTGTTTCTTGGTAACAGAGCATGGATATGATCTAGGGATTCTTTCCTTTAGCTCTGTTCTTCTTCAAGTTTCTGTCACCTATATTCTTCCTTCTATTTTTTAGGTTTCAAGTTAGGCTATATTACCTATACATCTTAATCAATTCTTGTTGAAATAATGCCTCAAAACGCTCTAATTGCTTAATTCCGCCAATATATCATTGATGGTCAAGAGGAGATTGTCGATAGTTACTTCGACCATTGATGGATTATATTGAACTATCAGAGAAAAATAAGAAACTGGATTTTGAACTATCTATAGACTAAAGGGAACCATTGATGGTTTGGAGGAGATCATCGATGGTCGTGTTTGGTATTGATGGTTATGATGCTGATTATAATTTTTGATGATTTAATCTTAGCTGTTCGTTTTTCTTTTAATCTCCAACTCCTACCAAGTTTTAGATACCCCTTTCCTAATTTATTATTGTCTTCTACATATAAAAATAGATATAATTTAGATTAAAAGTTTTTAGTGGGGATTGAAGAAGAAGGGTTTGAGGGTTCAGGCTTTTACCTTATTTTGTACTTCTTTCTCTTTTGATAGTGAAGTTTCTCCGACGCCTTTGCCATGGGTGTAGCCTAAATTGGGTGAAGTACGTAAATCTCTGTATTTACGATTGTTGTTAATGGGTAACCAAACAGTCGAATATATCAAGATGAGATTGATGAGGGGCTGCTCACTTCTTGAAATGCCAGGATTGGAATTCAGATTCTGATCATACTACGCTACACACAAGAACTCACACAGTTTTTTTATTTCTCCACTAAAGTTTACCAGCTGACTTGATCGTCGGAGGTACAACGGGGGAATTAAGCCTCGTCCTCTCATAATGGGTAACCAAACAATCAAATATATTGGGATGAGATTGATGAGGTGCGATCACTAATCTCATCCCGATATATTTGATTGTTTGGTTACCCCTCATCAACAACGATTGCTTGTCTTTTATGTTAGACCCTAGAGGGGGGTGATTAGGGTCTTATGCTAATCTAATCTGATTAAATACCAATTAAAATTAATCAACAAGTTATCCTAGCAAGTATGAAATACAACAATATATATGAGCTAGGATAAGCAAACACAAGGGTAACATAAACAAATGATATAGTGGATGAAATAAACAATGAGAGAAATGCTATAAAGATGAACAAATATAAGTGTGCTAAGCCAAACTCAAACAAGCAATATGATCACGGAGTTCGGACCTTCCGTCCTACATCTCCGCTCCCTACTCCCGGGGAGAAATCCACTATCACAATCCGGTTTGGAAGCCGGAACTTCTACACACTCGGTTTACAAGCTTACCGAAAACTCTCACACAACAAACACTATGCAATCACACTCTACACCCTCACAAGTGTTGGACCTAGCCGTGTCTCCCTCAAGTGCTCAGTTACAACCTCTCCCTAGGTTCGTCAACCGATGCACTCCTCTTAGGATGATCCCCGACTCTCACCACACACTCCTCTCGGTGTACAAGTGTATTACAAAGGATATCCTCACAATTAGGCTTAATATAATAAATGTTTGTTCTGTACTATGGATGAGAACACAATGAAAGCTCACACTCAATTGTTACAACTCTCACCAACCCAAATATACTATGTATAAAAATACAATAAGCTCAATATGGGTGTGTGTAACAATGAGATAATATAATCAAATCTAAACTCAATATAAAAACTAGCTTTAAGAAAGATAATCCAAATAACTAAGCAAATGTAAAGCTAGATAAGAGTTTAGAAAACTTCTCAATAGATCAAGAGGTGGAGGGAGAATAGTTGGAAGCTCAAACTTCAATAGATGATCTCCTCAACCTCTTGTGGATTTTTCTTCACAAACAAACTCTTGAAACAAACTTAAAAACTCTTCAACAAACTTGTAAAACTCTTTTTAAAACTCTCTTAAACATCCATAAGAAACAATGAAAGTTGAGGGCTTTTTATAGCCTCTTAAACCAGCCACAAACTTCCAAAAACCGAAAATATCAAAAACTAGCCGTTACTAGCCGTTATAGGCTGAAAAGACCAAAATACCCCTAAATTCAGCATTCTGGAAATTTATGTATCTAGTTTTGTAACATCAATTAAAAATAGTAAATCAACTCCAAAAGTTATGAAACTTTGAGGAAAGGTTCTAAACATGTAGAGGAATATGTTAGAGAAAGAATTTCTGAAAAATAATTTCTCATTTGAGAGAAATAAATGTTTGAACAAAGATATACAGTTTCTGAAAATCTGCTAACATACACGATTTTGTAAAATCAATTGGGCACAGTAAATCAACTCCAAAAATGGTAAAATTTTGAGGAAAGTTTCTAAACATGTAGATAAACATTTAAAAGAAAGAATTTCTTAAAAATCACTTCTCATTTGTAAAAACACATCTGTTTTGTAAAAACATACACGGACACATGCACGTACATGAACAAAAAACTTGATTTTTCCAAAAACGAGTTCAAACAACTTGGAAACACTTTAGAATGGATTTGTAGACATTATACGAGATATGAAAATAGTGTGAACAAGTCTTCAATCTATAAACACAATATTTTCTAAATACAATAGAATATGAAACAAATAAAAGTGTATATGAAGATATATATTGTTTCATATCTACATAACTAAACCAAAACAACTTAACCATATGAAAACAAACATGTATATATATAAATATGTATTTGTTTCATATTTAAACTAGAAAATCAAAATTTGTATTTATATATATGACTATATATATATAAAACCAAATACGTGTATGTGTGTATATGATTGAGCTTAAAGTATTGAACACACATAATATAAATCTGAACTAATATACCCAAGCAATCTTGATCTTCAATAAGCTTGACTTGGTACACTATACGGATGAAGCTGAACTTGGATCTTGAACTTGAATTTCATAAGCTTCACTCCACAATTCCGCCAACCTCCATTTGATATGATCGTGAATGCTCGATTTCATCCATCCTCCAACTCGTTGTTTGCCTAGAATAAATACGAAAACACAAATACTAGACAAACAACATTAGTTGTAAATTGTTTGTTAAACATCATCAAAACAAGAAGGCCAACATTTTATTCTCGTGCTTGTTCTTTGGAATTATTTTCATGTTATTGTGCACTTTCTAAGAAAGTAGTATGAGAGCTTCAATTATGATTTAATTTTTGAGCAAAGATGATAACTGCGAAATATAAGATTACGGTCTTTGGCAAGCGAAGATGCATGCTATTCTTGTTTAGCAAGGATTACAAAAGGCTTTGTTGGGAAATGATAGGATGCCAACATTGATGATAGATGATGAAAAGTTCGAGATGGATGAAAAGGCATTAACTTTAATCCAATTGTGTTTGTCGCATGTGGTTCTTCAAAAAGTCATGCTTGACAAGACGGCAACGGGCCTATGGGTCAAATTGTAATCTCTTTATATGACAAAAACCCTTGCAAACTCACTACACTTGAAACAAACATTATTTATGCTCTGCATGACGGAAGGTACATCTATTAAATCACATCTTCATAAATTTAATTCTATTATTTTGGATTTGGAGAATGCAGATGTATAGGTTACGGTGTGGGAAGCTTCGAGAGGGGAGGAGATAGGCGGAACTGTCACAGTTGAGGACATAGACGAGCTTCTGCTTCTTGCAGGTGGTGATCATGACAGCTCAGCTGCTGGGATTGATGGTCAGATACTGGCCGAGAACGATGCGGCGGCAGCTGGACTTTCTTGTACTCTAGGATGACAATGCAACCCGAATCGGAGCCCACGACGTAGTCCTTGTGGGACACGGTGAGGTGGAAGTGAGCGAGGGATCTGATAGTGCCAAAGACGTCGACGGAGTGGAGGGTCTGGATCTTGCCAGAATCGCCAAGGTGGAGGAGGCTGATGGCCTTCTTTCTACGGGCAACAACGATCTATTTTCCGCCGGCGAAGTTGCCATTGATCGCACATACAGCACTCGTCACCTTAGGTTGTAAAGATACAACTCGTAAATAGGACTTCAGGCTAGGGCTAGGGCTTCTCTCCAATTATCAAATTATGATCTCGTAAATAGGTATACTTAACAATATAAAGCTATGATCTTATATACCAAATTTGAAGTTCCTCATTTTTCATGTATGGTTGTAAAGTGTAATATAATATCATATATATGGTTTTAAATTT